GTTCTCCTCTTTGGAAAATAATACTTCCTTTCCTTTGGGAATCTCTTCACCAGTGCCACATGGTGTGGTGAGGCTGTTAATCTTTATGCCCTACCTGTTCCCTTCCCAGTTAGGTCATATGATCTAGACTTGCCACTCACAGTATCACTTCCCTCTGGACAGTGATTGGTCCAGGGGTGGGCGCATCACACAAGCAGGACCAATCAAAGTTCTTCCCTGGAATTCTTTTTTTTTTTTTTTTTGAGTTTCACTCTTTGTTGCCCAGGCTGGAGTGCAATGGTGCAATCTCAGCTCACTGTGATTTCAGCTCACTGTAACCTCCGCCTCCCAGGTTCAGGCGATTCTCCTGCCTCAGCCTCCCGAGCAGCTGGGACTGCAGGTGCACACTGCCACGCCCAGCTAATTTTTATATTTTTATAGAGACAGGGTTTCCCCATGTTGGCCAGGATCTTCCCTGGAATTCTATACCATTTGGGAGGATGCTTTATGCTGGGATTGGCTGTTTACGGGAAGAAAACTGGAGAGAAGCAAAGCGTAGAGGTGCAGGCTGAGAGAGGGCCTTGGCACATTACTTAAGCCTCTGGACCCAGCTGTGCTTTTACCTTTATCATCCCTCCTCATGATGGGACCCAATACACTCTCTTTTCCATAGATGAGGAAGGAATTCAAAGGAATTCAAATTCCTCTGAATTTCATTTTGGTCCCTTATAAATAGAGTCCTAACTAATACAGAACAACTTCCAACTGATCTGTTTGCTTCCAAATAGCTAATGTCATGTCCAGGGAAGCTGCTTCCCTGGTGAAATCCTGTACCTAACACTTTGTTTTGCACACACTGGGTGCTTGCCTTGTGTTTCTTCTGTGGTAACTGTACCCTCACCATCTGCCACCATCCTTTGGGAGGAGAGTGGAGACCTAAACCTGGGTCTCCCGGCCTGCCTTTGTTGGTGGCCGTGAATCCGGTCATCTGTGCATACATTTTCATCTCCCTTCCTCTCTGCCTCTGCTTCTGCAAAGATAAAAACAATCTGCTAGTCTTGCTTTGCAGGGACCTTGCCAAACATGCCAGTGCTGGGGCGTTTATCGGAATACCTCAGGCTGCTGTCTTCCAGATGTAGATAAGAGGACATACTCCCAGGGCACAGAACTGTTAGAGCCGTGGATGTGATTATCTCCCTCTGAGATCAGGCTGTCCCCTGGTGCCCAGTGCGAGCTGGTGCTAAATTTATTGTGACTAAAACATCAGGGTAGTATTAGAGGTTCCTTGCCCACTGCTTCTTTCCCAGGCTGCTTGTGCCAGCTGCAAGGCCCTTGTAAGGCTGTTAGGTGTCTCTCTGTGGCAGATTCATTGTTCCATATTTTTATTTAATTACTTACTTTTACAGCTCTTAGAATAAATCTAATTATCCATCTGTTATGCTACATTATGCCACTGCGGTTCATGCAGTTCTTTCTCATCGTATATGATATTTGTCAACTTGACCTTGCCCTCTTCCAATGTTGTTGCTCCCCTGCGTGGCTCTGTGCCACCTCCTCAGTGGATCCTTGGCACCAGCCAGTCTATCAGGAACCTCGGCAGAGTTGACTGTGAGTGGCTCTCAGATGGAACAGGGGTTGGTGGAGCGTGGAGTATTGCAGGAGGAGAGTGGCCAGTACCACGCTGACCTGACATAGGCATGGAAAGTTGGGCTGGTACTGTGTTAGAGTCCCAGAGAAGAAAGCAGGAGCTCTAGCCTACAGCTTCCAGTCTTCAGCCAGAGAGGGCTGCTGTCAAGGAGGACAGCCAGGTGAGGTCAGGCTGAAAGGAGGTGACCGTGGCCACCTGTGGACATATCTATGGACTGTCCTGCCATGGCTGGCAGGCGGTGCCTAATCCTAAGATTGAGTCAGGGCTGATCTTAGACACAGCAGAGGTGGGCATTTCCTACTAGAGGTGATTTCAGGAATCATGTGAAACTCCCTGCTTCCCAAATCTTTTTTTCTTTCTGCTACTGCCTAAAATTTGATTAATACCATTAGAAATTTGTTTATTGGTTTTATATATATAAACTTCTCTTTGTGGTCAAATACAGACATTCCCAGGAGGGGGACTCCGGGGGGGCTACTGGCCATCTGGGTTGCATCCCATAAGCAGACAGGGGATATGCAGTGAGGAGGACACATGGTTAAGGGAATCAAAGTGCAGGGAGATGGGGGAGAGAAGTCAGAACTCAGGGCAGTCACGGAGTCTGATTCCATGAGCTCTTGGAGTGGGCAAGGTGCTCAGAAAGGAAGGGAGGTCATGTGCCCAACCCATCCACGTGCCTAGTGCTGGGGCTCAGTGTCTCAGCTGGGAGGGGGCACAGAGCCAGCCTTGTGTCTGCAGGCAGCTCCTGTTAATTGAGTGCTGGGCATTGGGCTCCACCATCTAGAGTGAGCTCGCAGCTGAACAGGCAACAAGGCACAGTCCAGGTCCTTGAGGGAGTTCATGGTTTAGGAGGGAAGCTGATCTTGTCAGGTCTGTTAAGAGGATGGAAAGGAGGGCCCCAGGAATGCTAGCAGGGGCCCTGTGAGGGTCAGGAGGTCAGCGAGTGTTTCTCTGAGGAGATCGTGTCTGGGGGGTTCTTGCAGTAGGAACTGGCCAGATGAAGATGGGGATGGGCAGGGGCAGGGTGCCCAGGCAGAGGCGGTGGAGAGCACAGCACACTGAGAGATTCCTCTCTGTTGACTGAGATGAGTTGAGAAATTCACTGGGGGAAGGGAGGTCCTCCCTCCTCATCACTTTGGTCCTGAAACAGGGTCATTGTCAGCAGATCTCCTGAATGGAAACGCCAAGCCTGCTACTGTCACTGCTTCTAAAGCATATTCCCCAGGGGCCAGGGGAGGACCTGTGTGGCACAGGCTTTCTGTGGTGGAGGCACTGTGGTCAGAGGCTGTGCTCTACTGCCTCATCCCCACAAGGCACCCGCAACCCAGGGCAGGGACTGCTATGCTGACTCCTCCTCCTCCTCCTCATTCCCCTGCCCCGCCTCCAGCCCAAGCCCACATTAAAGGACTTCCGACTTGGAGATGGGCCCAGGTTGGAGCTCATTATAGCCCAGTGGCCAGGCCCTTCATTTTCCCTTCCAGGTTAAGACTTGGCAGGCATCAAAGGTTGCAGGAACACCCCACAGGCCTTCTCCCTTAATCGTCTCGCTCTTGCCCTGTCTGCGTGGCCTCCTTAGCTGAGCTTTTCCCACCAGAGCCTCTGGTGACTTTCCACAAGTTTCCCCTCATTCCAGCAAGCAGATTCAGTGACTAATTGCTGGTAATTTTTTCCTCAAGACTCTATTTATATAGGCTGTCGTGTTGGGGGCGGGGGAAAGCGGGCTCTAGTCCTGGGGAGGCTGCCGTTCCCTGCAACTGCCATCGTTAGACTGAGGCCCATGCGGCATTGATAGCCACACTTTGTCTTTATTCTTGTATTTTTTTGTCATTGGGACATTTGGTTCTTTGAACATCTAACATCCCTTTTATGCTTCTCATCTTCCACAGAAGATTGTTGTATTTTGTCCCCCACTGAAGCTGCGTTTTCTTTTTGTCAGATTTCTCACTTTCTTCTTTATTGTATTTTGATCAGTGCAGCCATGGAGGTCTGGGTTTTATTGGGAGCTTTTTATCTTTGGGGCAGTGGCCCTCACGGCCTGGGTCTTCTGGCCAATGCTGGGCCCTGCCTCAGGCCCCTGAAGCAGGACTTTCCCACCAGGGTGAGAGAGGGTCCAGGGATTCTCTAGCCTGGTGGTTCTCAAAATTAAGCATGCCTCAGAAGCAGCTGGAAGCCTTGTTAAAACGCAGATGGCTAGGCCCCTCCCCTAACGGTTCTGATTCAGTGAGTCTGGGGTGAGGCCTGAGAATTTGCATTTCTAACTAGCTCCCACATACTGCTGGTGCTGCTGGCCCAGAGATCAGACTTGGAAAACCACTGCTTTAGAGTAATTCCTCCTTCACCTTGAGCCAGAGTGTGCAGGGCCCAAGGAAGGAAAGAACAGCAGGGTACCAGGTTTCTCCTTCTCCATGCTGGGTCCAGCTCTCAGAAACACGATGGAGGATGTTGCCAGGGCATCATAATAGTAAACACCTGTACAGCGATTTCACCTGCCGTCTCACTCGATACTCACAGCAGGTCCCTTGGTGAAGTAGCACAGCTTCTTGACAAATAACAGAAGTCAAATTGAGATAAGTTAAGGCCTCCTTCCTGGCCATTAGGCTAGTAATTTGTGGTGTGTCCCCAGTGGAATCCAGTTTTCTTAGCTCCTATTCTCGAACTTTCATGACTCTGCTACTTATTAGCTATGTGACCGTGGGAAAATTACTTAGCTTTCTATGACTCAGTTTGTTGATGACCAAAATGGGAGTAATGGTGTCTGCCTCATAGAGTTGTCATGAGGATGGCATGAGTTAATGCTTGAAAAGCACTTGAGAGCTATTAAATGGTGGCCTCCAGAATCCCCTCCTCTCATGCAATGAGGGGCTGCGGGTTTTTTGTTTTGTTTGTTTTTGGCATTTCTGTCACAAGAGGCGCAAGAAGATGTACTACTGCCCACCAGACAGCCTTACCCGGCCATCAGGACAGGGCTCAGTCACTTTGGAAAGTCACTGCCCCCCCACTGAGTGAAATGGCCTGAGGAAGCCTGGTGGGTGGCATCTGCCGAGGATGGAGCAGTAGCTGAGGGGCTGGGTCAGTGTGTGAAGCCTAAGACCAGGAGGAGGGGTACCAGGAGAGCAAGGCGGCCGGGTTGTCCACTCTTCAGGGGCTGCTGTGATCCCGTTCCTTTCACTGCCCAGCCCTGGGTGGTGGCCCTTAGAGGATTAGTTTGGAGGAAAGCTAAGGCTAAGTCTGCCATTTTGGTGGTTTTCTCTTCCTGCCTTGCCCCCACCTTCTGACTTGGGACATTTACAGCAGTAACGGGGGTTTGAGTAGAAGCCTAGTCTTGATTGTGCTAGTGATATTGAACCTGTTGAAAATTACATGCCGGGTACTGTTACATTCAGTATCTCGTTTAATCCTCACGAGCCTCATGAAGTAACCCTCATTTGACAGAGGAAGCTGGGTCCTTCCTCATTTGTATAAGTAGGGTGACCACATAATTTATGGGGCACAAATTATGAGAGGCAGGTTAATTGACCTGTCTTAAGGGTTGTACAGAAAGAAGTCCAGGATTCAAAGTCAAATCTGTGTGGCTCCAGAGCCCTTGGTCTTTGCTAAGCTGCCCTGACACTGCCCTCTGGAGTGCTGTTATTCCCTCCGTGGGTGCCTAGCATTGGCCTGTTCCCAGGATCTCCTGCCCCTCAGCTCAAGGTCCAGGTTCCGGGGCCATGAAAGCGCTTTATTCACCTTTGTATCTTCCATAGAACTTAACACAAAGACTTATACAGAGAGTGACCATATGTTCTGTTTATGCTTCTTGTCCCAGTGCAGTAATTAATGGTGCCTCTTTCTTAAAAGTGTCCCAGTTTGGACAATAAATTATGTGGTCACCCTACTTATACAGCGTCCTCCCAACCCAGGGACAATGGCATTTTAATAGAGGACCCTGAAAGACAGAATTGTCTTTAAGACTCAAAGAAGTAAATCCCAGATGGTGAAATTTTAAGCGTTTATATCCCAGTAGGCAAGAGAATGTAGACAAAGATTCTGCTCACCCCCCCACAAACCTACCACAAAGGACTATTTCTAACACCCGACTTGAGGGTTGTGGGGGTCACCAGGCCTGTGATGAGATTTGAAGGGGCAGGAGTCCCACTGTGGCTCATGCAAGTGTCTGACAAGCAAGACCAGAAAAGGGGAGGGAGAGCAAAAAGCTGTTGCTTCCACACCTCCCCAGGCAAGAGGGGAGCCCCTGCCTAGCATTTGATTGTTCTCAAGCCCCCAGCCTCCCTGCAGGAAAGAGCTAATGGGGATTGGCCCTCTTCCCAGCGTCACCCTCAGCCCCTGGTGGGCCCCTGGGCTCAGCTTCCCCACGCTTTCTTGTGGGGCTTTGTTCCCTCAGGCCCTGCCCTTGTACCCTGGACATTGGTCCATACTCAGCCATGGCGTGTGCAAGTCACATTCCAGGCTGTGTCCTTGCCCCATTTGCAGGCAGCTGAAAACTGCTGTGCATATGTCAGTTCACACTTGAACTGGTTTAATGTTTTTTTCTTTTAAGTTGCAATCTAAAATTCAGCCAGACAGGCTTTAACGAGCACTAAATCGTCAAGCCTTTTGTTTCCCTTGCTATTCAAGCCATAGAGATTTTGTGTTTGATTCAGCAACAATTGCTGAATCTTAAACAAACCATTTACATTTTGACATTAACTATTTTATGAGTGTAACTTTTTCTTTAGCATTGGAATGATTCCAGCAGAAGGCCTTTTAATGATTTATCAGAAATAGAGTTAAAAGAGTCTGTGGAAGGTGATTCTTAACATTTTCTTTTGGGGAAAAAAAGTAGGTTTTCATCTGCCTTCAGTTGGGCAGTACATACAGAAGTTTAGCCTTCCTCCTCCTATTTTAATAACTTTTGATCTTGTCAAGGTCATTCTTCCAGCATGCCCTCTTGCTCAGCTCCTCCATTTTTCAGACAACCCTCGCACCCAGTGGCTTCTCTCAGAGTGACTCTCTGCGCATCTCTGTCGGCTGTTAATTTCTTCTGATAGAGACGGGAACTATGTTCTTTCTTTGCTCTAGCGCTGGTACTCTTAGCTGAGGCCCCTGTGCACACTGGGCGTGATCAGTATTTGGCAACCAGCTGACTGGACAAAGAGCCTCAGACAAATAGCATGTTCACAAACGAAGCCATCCATCATTCTGTCCCTTGAAGCTGTAAGTAATTGGAACTTTTCTCCAGTTCTTAAAGATGTCCACAGAATGGGAAGTCTCCACTTTCCTTTAGGTTCCCATTCGAGCATCTGGTGAGTCAGGTCAAAGGGCCTTGAGCAAGGTCAGGCGTCCCAGTGTTGCTCCTGCATTAGGGGAAGCTCTGTATTTTTCTCAGCCTCCAGTGAGACCTGGTGAACCATGCACCTGGCTGAGGAGTCAGTGGATCTGCCCAGTTTCCTTCTCTGTAACAGTGTGAGCCAAGTGACCAGGCCCAGGAAATCCATGCTGTGGGTGGCCTGAGACTCCGTGTGAAATGGAGCTGGCTGAGGAGGCCATGTTGATCCGCCCCCATGGAAAACTGGGAGCCGGGGTGCTGCACTTGCCTCTCAGAACTAGAACTAATTGTTCTTAAAGATCTTTCCAAATACCAATGATGCAAAATATTTGGATGGTTCACCATATTGTTCACCATATTTAAACTGTCAGAACCTTAAATATCTGAGCAAAACCTCAGCAAACAAAGGATATTTTGGGGACTTGTTATGTATGTTGCGCGGCAGAGAGATTTGTAGTCTATACGACTTCCAAATCCTGTAAACGAAGTATTTCAGTGTTGTCATTTTCAGCTATAGACCGTCCTACGATCATTGCCTTTTCTTTTGCTATTAAGAGATGGCTCATTCATAAACATTTCTACAGTTGTGTGGCAAACGCAAAATAGGCCCTGCATGATTCCACTGGCTCTGATTGAGGAGATGATTTTTCACACAGTGAGATTTATCACATTTATCAAGTTTATGACAGAACACAAGGAGGGTGAGGGATGTGGAGGTTGGAGGGAGAGCAGATCTGAGTGAGGAGGGAAGCTCTTTCCTGAGCCTCAAAGGGCCGGTTGACAAGGTGTGTTGCCTATAAGCTTGGAGCAAGGATTGTCTGGGCCATTGCCTTGGATCCCCTCTTCCCCTGCGGGGTCTGGCCTCCTCTGCTGTCCCCCAGCTACGAGACATGGGGATAGTTATACCACCAACTGGTTTAGAAGACCTAAAATAACATCCTCTGCGTTCTCTAATAAAGTTGATAAATCTCAGTGTGTGAAAAATCTCCCATATGTTTTAGCCTAAATTTTCTTCTGCTTAACCTTGTTACTCCTGCCTTGCCTCCCTCAGACTGCCTGAGACAATTACTCAGGGACATTCTTTGAATAATTAGAGGCTGCAGATAATTCTCTTTAGCCCGCTTTCTTCCATTTTCCCTACCCTGTGGTCTCCCTTTAGCCAGTTCTAATTAGCTGCTTTGATCCTTCCTCCCAGTCTCTCCCTCTAGCTTGTTAATTACATTTCTCCCCCATGAATTCCTTCTGTACTGGCTTTGTCTATCCAGTCAGAGGAGCTGAGAATGAGAATCTAAGGCCACTCAGTGGGAGGTCTTCTTTGTCCCCCAAAACAGATAGCTCCTCTCCCTTCTGAGAAGCCTGAAAACCCTGGCATTCTGTCTTAGCAGAAAAGTACAAATAATAGTTTTTGTTAAATGGCATACTATGATAAAAACAGCTGTTATCCTAATGCTTGGCATTTGCCGGGAACTCTGTGTGTGTTTACGTATATAAAATCACATTTCATCCCCTAACAATCCCATGAGACAAATATTATTGTTATTAATCCCGGTTTTACAAATGCAGAAACTGAGGCCCAGAGAGGCTTAGTAACTTACCTCAGTCACGCAGCTGAAAACACTAGAATCTCAGACTTGCTCGTAGGTCTCTCTGACTCCAGAGCCGCACTTAGTTTTTTGCTTTCTGGGTTTGGGCTTTTTGGTGGAGGAAAAAAAAAAAAAAAAAAAAGGAAAAAGTCCAGGTCATTGGCTTTTAGCCCACCAAAAATCTAACCAACCAACCACCAACCAACTGTGAGATAATTGTCACCTCTTTACCCTCGGTATAGAAGAGGCTTTCTCAATTGAAATCATAAAACTGGCACAGAAGCAAAATGGTGTGGTGCATGGGGTATCTGGGCAGTTGAAAATCTGCTTCTAGAAAAAAAAAGAAACCAATAAATTCTTCACTTGCTTTAATTCTTAATTCTCTTTTCTGACAGTTTTCTCTCTCAGGAGGTTAAGGAAGCAATAAGGAGAAGGGCTTCACTGAAATTATATGCTGAGCAACAACAAGGATCTGTCTGGTAAAAAAAAAAAAAAAAAAAAGTTTAGGGAACCCCAGCAGAAAGTGACTGTGTTTGGAGAAGCAAAAAGGGGAAGGTGAAACTCTCTGCCTCTGAGTTTTAGGGAAAGTAAATTTCAGAGGGTCCAGGAGAAAGTAGATGTGATGTCTGAACAGGAGCTTCAAAAGGAAGGATGACTCAGAGTTTGAAAAATGAAGTGTACTTAACAGAGTCACGAGTGATTACTGCAGGGAGCAGGGAGCCACCTAAAGAGACCCACGTGGCTGCAGGGGGCACAGTTCGAGCTGAGATTTTGTCTAGAGATGAAAACGGGACCTGTAACCAAGAGCAAATAGAGAAGAAGGATGCAACCTCCGAGAACACTGTCAGGAGCACCAGATGGGTGAGACCTGGGAAACGCTAAGAACAGCAAAGGCGCCTGTGCCGCTACTGTTGAGAGTGAGAGGGATGGCAAAGAAGGCTTTAGGCCACCTGGTTCAGTCAGGTGATTTAGCAGATGCCAGAGAGGGTATCTCTGTCCTTGCTCTCATTCTGTTTGCCTCTGCCTTCTCTCTCAAGGAGAATGGCCTTCCTGCAGAAAGTAAAACAAACATAGAGTTAAGTGGAACTTGAGACCAGGAGTGTACAAAAAGTATAATGAGCCACTGGCTTCTCCAGATTAGACAGGGTCTGAAAAATTAAATGCCAAACAGAAACTTAGGGACATCATCATCAAACTGTGTGCAGGAATCTTTATGGCATTATAGGGATTGGGAGAGGGGCAAGGAGACACAATGGGCAACTGTTCTGGTTTTCAAAATAACAGAGCTAGTTTTTGAGATGTGACTTAAGAGTATTTTTAAAGAAAAGAGGTCATTTCTTAGAGTTAGTGTGAGTTCCATAAAACCAGGTCTTGCTGGACTAGTTTAATGCTTAAATTCTCCCTCCCGTCTCCCTCCATATAGAAAAGTTTAACACATTCTCCTTGATGAATTATTGAAAGTAGACACACCCATGTAACCACCACCCAGATCCAGAAATGTAACATTATCAGTACCCCAGAGGACTCTCTCAAGTTCCCTCCCAATTCTAATTTTCTTTTTCAGAAGATTTGCCAGGCTGGTAGATTAGGCCAGTATAATAGACACAGAGGAAGTCTGCATTTCAGGAAATCATTTGACAGAATCTCATAATAATCTAATAGATCAGATAGAGAAATGATGATAAAGACGTAGATTTGAGGCTGGGTGCCGTGGCTCGTGCCTGTAATCCCAGCACTTGGGAGGTCGAGGCGGGCAGATCACTTGAGGCCAGGAGTTCGAGACCAGCCTGGCCAACATGGCAAAACCCTGTCTCTACTGAAAATACAAAACACACACACAGACACACACACACACACACACACACACACAAAACTGGGTGTGGTGGTGAGCGTCGTGATGTGTGCCTGTAGTCCCAGCTATATGGTAGGCTGAGGCTCTGGGAGGCAGAGTTTGCAGTGAGCTTAGATTGCATCACTGCACTCCAGCCTGGGTGACAGAGTGAGGTGAGACTCTGAATCAAAAAAAGAAAAAAAAAAGATGTAGATTTGTAGCAGCTTGAACAATCAGACTTAATCAATGTTTATTTAGAAATGGTTCAGTGTCAACAGAGCCTTCACTGTAGTGATGTGCCAAAGAGCTCGTGGCAGACTCTGTCCTGTCTAACCTGCATTCTGGTTCTCATGTGAAGACGTGGGAACAGATGGCAGTGATCAGGAAGAGATAACCATGTGAGATACATGACAGTGAGGATCCAACAGAATAGTGACAGGCTAGGAGGAAGGGTCTAGGTAGCCAAGTGGCATTTTAAATTTTATTGTTATTAAACTTCTAATTTATAAGTAATTCAGATTCCTTGTTTAAAACAAAAATCTCACCACCCAGAAATAAATATATGGTGTCATATCACCCATACCATTTGTAATTTGCTTTTTGCCTCCTGACAATATTTATTCTTTAGTAAGAATAAAATCGAAGCCCTGTGCTTGGGTTCAGAGCCATGTTGGGGATCCCCGGCTCATCAGAAGATCATGTGAGCAGCCTTTAGGGATTTGACCTAGGCAGGCCACTGTAAGCTCTGTGAGGCTGCTACCAAAAACCTAGAGATGGCCTGAGGCATTAGGGGCAGAATGGCCCTGGGGCAGAGGCAGCCAGGCCCACTGGACTCGGGGTGGGGGGTTGTCCAGCCTGGATCCCTATGGGTAGGTTTGGGCACCACCACTGTGGGATTCGTCAGTAAGTCAACAGGGTCAGGAAAGTGGAGGGTTTCAAGAGTCACCCTGAGAATGACTGCAGAATCCCGTGAGGCCACATTGTGAGAGGGGAGCTTTCTCTGGATGGTTGGCTCCTCCCAGCTTTCAGAAGGGCTGACCCATCTGGACAGGATCAGGAAACCCTTTCTTTCTTCAAGGGTAGACTTAGGACCAGAGGGTATAAGCTTCATGATAGCAGATTTTAGCTCAGTGTCAGAATATGTTTTTCTGGCAGTTGGAGGAGTTTTAAACTAGCATAAAGCTGCCTTGTTTGATGATGTAGTCTTCAAGTCCTGGGCTGCCAATTACCAGAGATGCTGTACTGGATAAAAGGTTGGGCATTGGCTCTAGTTATCCCAAATGCTGGTCCTCAGAACATAGGAATCACATGTAGCATTTATGAAAAAATCAGGTCTTCAGAGCCACATTCTCTGAGATTATGATTTAGTATATGAAGGGAAGGGCTTGGAATCTGTATTTTCAAAAAGGGCTCCAATTGTTCCTTGGAGAAATGGCTGATTCTATGGCTGGCATAGGAAAAGAGCAATATCTTGTACAAGAACATCTTGTGCTGGAAGGTAAGAAAATATTAAAGGGTGATGGAAACATGTTAAAAAGATACAGAAGCCAGCATGAAGAGGCCTGGTGATTAAGGATAATTTTAGCATTGAAGTAAATGATAGAAACTGATTCTATTCCATAGATTAAATAAGAATCTATTAATTCATACTGATGTCAATAAATGAATGAATGAAGAAATGGGAAAGAAGGAAAATCTCTTCTTTCAGGTATAGTGCCAGCAAATAAAGATAGAAGCAAGAAGAATAAAGATAGGAGTTTGAAGGATAAAGACAGGAGTTTGAATATCATCATTTGACAAACATCGTGGTACAGGTTGAATATCCCTTATCAGAGATGCTTGAGACTAGAAATGTTTTGGATTTTGATTTTTTTGTTGTTGTTTTGTTTTTGGAATATTTGCATTATATACTTACCACTTGAGCATCCCTGATCCAAAAATCCAAAATCCAAAATGTTCCAGTGAACATTTCCTTTGAGCATCATGTTGATGCCCAAAAAGTTTCAGATTTTAGAGCATTTTGGATGTTGGATTTTTGGACTTATGATGCTTAACCTGGAATAATTAATCAAGAATTGTCAATGATTGCCAAAACTACTACATGAAAGTTTGATGAGGAATAGGCTGTCTTCATATCTTAAAGTGTCTCCCCACAAAATATTAATTTCAGGGGAACAAAGTATTTTTATAGTGAGAAATCTGGCAGATACCACCACAACCAAGTGTTCAAAGAAAACATCCAGTCGTGGGACTTACGGATATCACTTGCCCTCCTGTGTGATACACTGAGAAAGATGCAGCACTGTGTTTGTGCATTCCTACCAAAGCCGCAGCCTCAATCTAATCATGAGAACACATCGGACAAAACCAAACTGAAAAACATTCTACCACTGGCCTGCACGTTTCATAAATGTCAGTGTCATGAAAGACAAAGACTAAGGAAGAGTTCCAGATGAAAGGAGTCCAAGGAGACAGGCTGCTGTGTACATCGTGTGGGCATAGATCGAACGTGGGATCAAAATTATTTTTCTAATAAGAATATTATTGAGAGGGCTCTGTGCAGTGGCTCACACCTGTAATCCCAACACTTTAGGAAGCCGGGGCGGGAGGATTGCTTGAAGCCAGGAGTTCAAGACCAGCCTGGGCAATATTGTGAGAACCCCCATCTAAAAAAAAAAAAAAAAAAAGTTTTTTTTTTTTTAAAGAAAAAAGAAGGGAAGGGGGGTGGGAAGGACTATTATTGGGACAGTTGGCAGAATCTAAGTAAATATCTATAGATTATTGTGTCAGTGTGAGTTTCCTGATTTTGATCATTGTACTTTGGTTATGTTCTTAGGACATTCACACTGATATGTTTAGGGGTAAAGGGTCTTCATATCTTCAATTACCCTCAAATATTTTGGAAAAGAAAATCTGTGTAAATATTAATAGAGACAGAAAATTGTGGTAAATGTCCACAATTGGTGAATCTGGATGGGAGTTTATTTACTATTCTTGTAGCTTTTCAGTAAGTCATTTTTCTGTGTGATTACTTTTCAGTAATTTTTTTTTTCTTTAGAGAGACGGAATCTCACTCTGTCGCCCATAGCTCACTGCAGCCTCAACCTCCTGGGCTCAAGTGATCCTCCTACCTCAGCCTCCCGAGTAGCTGGGACCATAGGCACATATGACCTTGCCCGGCTATTTTTTTTTTTTAACTTTTGCAGAGACGGGGATTTTACCACCCTGTGCAGGCTAGTTTCAAACTCCTGGACTCAAGCAGTCCTCCCGCCTTAGCCTGTCAAAGTGCCGGGATTACAGGCATAAGCCACCACACCTGGCCTATTTTCTGTAATTTTTTACATCACTAGTCTGAAATGGTTTCAGGAAATAAACTGCCCCAGGTGACTGTGATGCAGGGCTATGTTGGAGAGCTACCAGATGTCCGTCAGGAAGGTCATTTGCTGCCCCTCCCTCTGAGGTTCCCTTTATCTCCCCAAAGATGGGCAGATGATTGTGTCTCTGTGTGTCTTGTGTGTGTGTCTGTTTGTCAAGAGGTTCTAGAGACCCTCTCGTGAGTTGCTGTTACTGTGGTGAGGAGTGGGTGTCTCATAGTTGCTTACGTGGGCGGCTTCCAGTTAGGGGCTGTACATGAAGGGGTTAGATGATAGCCCTGCCCTTCCCCAGTGTCCAGATGGAACTCCTGAGGCCATATAGGTCCCACCATTCAAGTGATGCGCAGATCATGTTTTGTTTTGTTATTCCTGGAAGCTTGACTTTGCAGTGGAAGATTTGTATGGTGTTTTTTTTGTTAAACTTACTCAATTCGGTAATTGTATCTTTTTTTTTTTTTTTTTTTTTTTTTTGAGACAGAGTCTTGCTTTGTTGCCCAGACTGGAGTGCGGTGGCGTGATCTCAGCTCGCTGAAACCTCTACCTCCTGAGTTCAAGCGATTCTTCTGCCTCAGCCTCCTGAGTAGCTGAGATTACAGGCGCCTGCCACTGCACCAGCTAACTTTTGTATTTTTAGTAGAGACGGGGTTTCACCATGTTGACCAGGCCGGTCTCAGACTCTTGATCTCAAGTGATGTGCCCGCCTCAGCCTCCCAAAGTGCTGGGATTACAGGCGTGAGCCACCACTCCTAGCCAGTTGTTTGTATCTTAGCTGATTGATTCCCTAATCCCACTCATCCCTGGATGTCAGGCAAATATAGCTGTCTCTTGAACCCATCTATTTCAGGATTACACATCCTGCAAATTCTTGCTTTCCCAGATGATGGAGGCTACACATTAGGACATAAGCAAGGTGGGGCCACCAGAGGAAATCTTTCTCTCTGGGCAAGAAGGTGAGCATGCACTTCATCAGGTGAATGATTGAACCTGGCCCCATACACGCCTGAGATGTGCCCTCTGCCCTCAGTGCATGGCATCATCTCAGAGGCATTTCAGACGAAAAATGGTAGTTTTTTCCTGTCATAAGGGAATGAAAAGAGTATTTGTTGCACTGAGAAATGTCACGAGGACTCGTGAGTGAGCACATCCCTCTGCTGTGCCTCTGGTGTCCTGGTTTGGCCTGGCAGTCTCAATCACAGAAGCTCTCTTCAGTTACACCTTAGCATTTCCTTGGCCCCCATCTAACTAGTCCCCCTCATCCTTACTCCCATCCTAGAGCTCTGCCTTTTCCAGTTGTTCTCCTTTTCAGAAATTCAAACTTCCTTTTCAGCCCTTCTGGTTGACCCTGGAGCAGAATTTCCGTGCACACGCCCTGCTGGCCCTGACACCTGTGCAGTGGCCCAGGACCCCACACTCAAAAGGGCCCGAGCCTGGCTTCATGCTCTGTTCTCACTGTCTTGAAATTTCTGATGATTCTTGAACAAAAGGCCCCACGTTTTCATATTGCACTTGGGCCTGAAAATTATGTGGCTAGTCCTGAGCCCAAGGGTGGAGAAGTCAGCCCTGGCGTGTGTATTGGGCAGCAATCTCCTGGGCCCCCTGGCCGAGCTGGGCCGCCCTCCCTGTGGTCAGCTCCTTCAGTCCCCCTCCACCCAGACACATGCTCAGCTTCAGTTAGCTAAACTGTGACCTCTGACTCTTGACTGATTGCCCAAATTGCTGTCACCCTGACCCAAACTCTTTGGTTTTTGCAAATGCAATCACTTCCATTTTTGCAACCCGCCCCACCCCCAGCCCATCCCCCTGCAAGATTTACAGAGTAGCAGCTGCTGCCGTCCCTCTGCACACAGACAGCTGACTTGCCTGCTGATTGTGAACATCCCAGTAATCCAAGTGCTAATGGTATTTATTTAGTCCAGCCGGCTTAGCCCTGAACAAGGTTTATTCTCATTTATCGCATCGGAGATGAGCTACGTCCTTAATATCCTTCTGTTGACTTTGAGCACACCAGCACCACTAATGTCACTTTGAGGCGTGCCAGGTCCCCGCCCTCTTAACTCACTCAGATCCCCAACTGTCAGGATACCTACCTTCCAGCCAGCAGGACTGGCCCCTCCAGGGGTGGGCTGCAGCTCTGGTCCGGAGTCCATAGGCTGGAGGAGGATGGGGCTGGCATACGTGATATGTGCTCGAGGCATCCGGGCTGAATCAAGCTGTGCTCTCAAGAATGTGGTCTGACTTCTTCGTGTAGTAAACCTGCTGTAATTATCTTTTGGCCACAGTGCATTGGCTAGCACTGTGGCATTTTGGCATTCATTAACTATTCTGTCTTTAACACGGGTAGTCCTAGCTCTGCCTCATAGGTGAAAATTTGCCCAAGGTCATCAGCCATTGCTCATGAAATTCCCAGCAAGGGTCCTCCAGGCCCTGGCCCCTGCATGTCCAGAGGCCTCACTCTGAGCTGTTTTGGTAGTTGCCTCCCCCAGCCCCAGGCTGTGCACATTTAGAGCCCAAGGCGGAGCTGCCTGTGGAGAGAGGGTCTGTTTCTGGGAGCAGATTCTGCCCTTGGCGGGAGATTGCTCAGGAAACCCTCAGCTCTACTGGCCCTGCCTGGATGGACGGAGGAGCAGCTGGAGGCGCAGGCCTCATCTTCCCCCTCTTCCTCTGCTGTGTTTCTGCAACCCCTTCCCTGGGCAGCCCTAAAAGGCCACTTCACAGGGTGGCCTTTTAGGAAACTCCTGAAGCTGTGGGAACCCTGGGGTAAGGCCCGGAGTTCCCAGGGTCCCATGGGCACCTCGTTTAAGCTGATCATGTGAAGAGGCCAGGCAGGGCATGGACCCAGGGCTGCCAAGGCTGCGCACTGTCACAGCCCAGGTTTGGCCGTGGTCCTGCCCTACCCACGGACCTGGCTGTGGGTGAAAACATGAATTTATTGCCTTATGAACCCGATTTCAGCAATTTACAAAAGGTCAGACTTCCTCTTTTCTCTCCGGTTTACTTATCCCATGTTGGAGCTCTCTTCTCTCCTACTGGAAATGGAGTGGGAAGAGCTGCCTGAGGGAGACAGAGTGGGTGGGACTGGCTGCTGCTGGCTTGGCTGTGGGTGGCTCCCGGCCCACATCAGCCTACCTTCTGAAGAAGGGACTTCTCTTTGCCCTGGTCCCAGTGCAGCAAGTGGAAGGGCTTTGGTGGCCCAGCCCTGGGTGATTAACTGGGGCTGCGATGATGGGGTGCTGTGATGAGCTTTGTGCTGTCTTTGGAGGGCCTTGTCTCTGCTGCTCCGAGGGCCCATGAGGGATGGGACTCCTTGGCAGTGCTCCCAAAGGCTGATGTGATGTCAGATCTCGCAGTCCCCCTTGGGGAGGCAGCATTTGATGTTTGTGTGAATCTCTCAGAGTGGTCGTCTTCTCTTCCTGGACCCTCCTGTCATGGGTGAATGTTCCTTAGGCACATGATGGCAGAGACAGCCCTAATTAGCTCATGCTTTGATGAAACAGCTGCCTGTCTCATGTTGGGGGGGGCAGGGGAGCAGCTCAGCTCCCAGGCCCCCCTGCAGCAGCTCCTGCCTCCCTGCCTATCTGGAGAGGAGCTGTCAGCCTCCCTTCCCCAGGGACTCTGGCCCATCTCCAGGCAGCTCTGCAGACACAGGGGTGGAGTTGCTGTGGGATGGGCTGGCACCCACCCTGTACTTCCTTTCTGGCTGAGAGGCTACAGAGTGACACGTGGTCCAAAGGAGCCTTTCCCTTTAGAAAACTGGCTCAGCGTGCTCTGTCTGCTCTGGACCTTGAAGCTTGTTCCTGGTCGGAATAAAAGCGGGGAGCTATCTTCATTCCATTCAGCCAGCTTTGGGGGCACGCCTGCTGTGTGTCGGGCCCTCTCCTGTACAGTGGCACAGTGTGTCTTTTCTGGGTTTAGGACCAGAAGCCAGCTCCTTCTGATTTGTCTTTGTTTCCTTATATCCTGGCTCACTGTCGAGGACCCTGTGAGGGCCCCCTGGCCAGGAGGGTTGGGAGTTAGGAGGAACAGGTGCTTTCTGGGTCTCCAGGAGCTTGTGGTCATGTTAAGGGCAGGCAGCCAGAGGCATGTAGTGGCTTTGGTAGACTGCAGTGTCCTTTGTGGGCTAGTTGGGTGGGTGTGACAGCCACCATCTGACTGCTGGCTTGGCCCCTTCACCTGCTGCTGGCCTCAAGCTTTTGTGTGCCCGTCCCCTCTCTTCTCGGGGCCTCACAAGTGGGCTGCTGAGAGGGAAGCCCTGACCTGCCCAAGGGCCTGACCATCCGGTCTCTGTGCTTGCCACTTGCTCCTTAATTAATCGCTAATGCAATCTTGCAAGGAACCTGCAAAAGGGTATCCTGCTAGGGATCCCAGCCCTGTCCCCTGCATGGCACCCTGCCCTGATGGGGGTCCCCGCCAGGCCCCTCATCCCTTCATGGTCCTGACTGTGGGAACCCTGGGGTAAGGCCCGGAGTTCCCAGGGTCCCATGGGCACCTCGTTTAAGCTGATCATGTGAAGAGGCCAGGCAGGGCATGGACCCAGGGCTGCCAAGGCTGCCAGACCCCCTCATCCCTGGGAGGTCTGGGCCTGAAATGTTTTAATCACATCATTATTTCTCTAGCCCAGAATGGGGAGAGGAGTTCCAGAGGCAGCTCAGGGTTTTGAGTACTTTAGTGCGGTGTGTTTCTCTGTTGATATGTTCATGGTTGTGTACACGTGTTCTTAGTTTGTTCGTTCGTTAGTTCGTTCGTTAGTTCATTCATCCATCCATCCATTCATTCATTCATTCATTCATTCATTCATTCCCTACTGTCCAGGACCTGTGACATGGCAGGCTCTGTGCTGAGTGCTGAGAATACAGGGCAGAGAAGCTGACAGTAGCTGCTGTTATAGAGTGGGAGCCCAGTGGGAGGCATTGGGTGGTTCTGTTTTAGGATCTGCCTAGGTATTCAGAGGCTCCTGTCTCTTGCACTTTCTTCCTGCCTTCTCCTACAAGCATTTTCTATGTGCAGTCTGAGTGCCGACCCAGGAGAGGAGAGGGATGGGGCGCTGGCCTTCGGGCTGCAGACCCAGAGGGGAACAGACCCATTAGTAATTGCCCCAGTGTGTGATGTGCCTGGGGTCACGGAGGAAGGAACATCTGGCACTGGCTTGGGAAGCGCCAAGAAAGGCTTCCTACGGGAGGGACGCTGAAGGAGCACCTTTGGCATCAAAATGTCTTTGCAGTAGTAGAGGCGAGTCACCTTCCAGCCTACTCCAGCCCCTTGGCTGCTGGGGAGTGGGGGCTGGCATGGGAGCCCTCAGCCCTGTCACCTGTGCTGTGGGCCACTGTTCCCACATGGGTCTGTGCCAGCTGGTCTTTGTTTCCCCAGCTGAGTTTGACTTGCCCTGCATGGGAACCTCCATTGTTCTTGTTTCTGCCCAGGATGGCTGGCATGGGCTCAGTTCCCTGACCACCCGATCCCTGGGCTGGGCACGGTAGTCATGCTTTCCTGTGCTTCTTCCCCAGCAACCCCAAGGTCCAGGTGGAGGCCATTGAAGGGGGAGCCCTGCAGAAGCTTCTGGTCATCCTGGCCACGGAGCAGCCACTCACGGCAAAGAAGAAGGTGTGTTTCCATGCCCTTCCGCCTGCCTGGCCCCCAGGACGCCTGTGGGGCCTGAAAGGAAAGGGTTCCTGTCCAGGCTATGCATGTTACCTTGGGGACCTGAGCGTCATCTGCTGGGTGGCATGGGGGAGAGGTTACACTAAACTAAAGCAGATGGCAGTGTGCCGAGGTGACTAGAGGCCTGTGGGCAGCTCCTGTGGTGTGCCCTTGGGCCCTACTCTTGGCCTCCCACCCTTGGTCTCTGTTTACCTCCCATTTACTCACTTGGTAATGTTGAAGGTGTCTGAGTCTCTACTGGCCTCACAGTCTTGGGTTCTAGGGTGTAGCTGTAACTGAGGTGTTAGGTGGGGCTGGGAGGAATGGGGACTAGGTTGGGGCACCTCTGTCTGCCTTCCCTGGACCTCAGGGCAGGTCCAGCTCACTTGGCCTCTCACCTGCCCCTGGGTCTCTGTCCCCAGGTCCTGTTTGCGCTGTGCTCCCTGCTGCGCCACTTCCCCTATGCCCAGAGGCAGTTCCTGAAGCTCGGGGGGCTGCAGGTTCTGAGGAGCCTGGTGCAGGAGAAGGGCACAGAGGTGCTGGCCGTGCGCGTGGTCACGCTGCTCTACGACCTGGTCACGGAGAAGGTGAGTACCCAGGCCCACCCGGTCTCCTCGTTTGCTTTGTGTGTGCTTCTGGATGGATGGACAGACAGATGGAAGAGACTGGGGACATCAGGGAGGATGTTGTGTGAGATGTGGTGGCTTAGCTGAAACCTGAGGGCTGATGAGTGGGAGATGGCCTTGCCAGCCATGGTCACAGCCAAGTGTGCAGGCAGAGGACTCAGCATGAGCAAGCCCTGGAGCAGCCAGGACCGGGCCCCCAAGGGACAAAAGGCTGAGGGGGTGGAGCAGCCCGGAGCGCCTTCGAATGGCACTGACTCTTCGGATTCCAGAAACTTGGAGGTGCCTCCTCTGGGAGCTTTGACTCTGGGCAGCGCCTCAGAGCGGCTGCCCTTGAGAGTCCCAGGGACCCAATTGCTTGCCACTTGGGAGGAGACTTGGTGCCCGGCCCTCTTTGCAAGCTTGAAGAAGCATCTTAATTAAGGAGGAGAGAGGAAAACCAGCCAGGCCTGGATTCTTAATTCAGCTGCTGCAGAGAGCATTGGCAGGGCTTCCTCAGTTGCCTCTCTAGGGCCACACATTCCCCAGAACAGCCGCATGCCGACTAGTGGAGCAGGGCTGGGCAGCCGCTGGAACTGCTGCCGAATGGCAGAGGCTGGGCCCTCCCCTGGCTCTGCACACGCCTCCCCCAGGCCTTCTCTCCCAGGCTGGGCCCTCCCCCCGCTCTGCACACGCCTCCCCCAGGCCTTCTCTCCCAGGCAGTGTCGGGATGGCTGTGGCTGCCTCTGTCTGTCTCTCTCTCCCCAGCTCTCTGACTCTCTCTGCCTGTCTTATCTCTCGGTCTGTTTCTCTCTCTTCTCTTGTTCAAGCTGCAGAAATCCAGTTTCTTAGAACAGCAGGCAGCCATGTGGTGCTCAGATCCAATTAATAAGGCCCGGGCACAGTTCAGGTTCTGGGAGGGGGCCAGTGAGCCTGGAGAAGGACATGAAGGACATGTAGGCTGGCTGGGCATTTCCCAGGGAAACTGGGCTCTGTTCTCTGGTGTCTTGGGTGTATGTCCCTGCTGTCCCCAGCCCTGGCATCCTGGGCACTGTGGCACCCATTGCTAGCACACTACCAGCAGGGAGGCTCGCCAAGGCTGCCCCGAGGCTGCCGGCCCTGGGAGCCTGCCTCTGGAAGCTTTGGGGTGCTGACATGATTGGGGAGGGGAGGACTGGCATCTCTCTACAAACAGTGCGGCAATGGCCCCTTCTTTCCGGGCGGACAGCAGATGAGTTCCAGTCAGAGAGATTTAGGACTGACTTGTACGTAGGCTGAGGCAGTCAGGGCTTCTCTGTTCTTGTGATTTCTTTTTTCTCTTTTTTTTGAGACAGGGTCTCTCTCTGTCACCCAGCGGCGTGATCTTGGCTCACTGCAACCTCTGCCTCCCAGACTCAAGTGATCCTCCCACCTCAGCCCCCTGAGTAGCTATGACTACAGGCCCATGCCACCATGCCTGGCTAATTTTGTTCATTTTTGGTAAACAGGGTCTCACTATGTTGCTCAGGCTGGTCTTGAACTCCTGGGCTCAAGCAATCCTGCCTCAGCCTCCCAAAGTATTGGAATTACAGGCGTGAGTTACTAAGTCCAGCCTCTTGCAGCTCTTAAGAAAGAATGAAGACCTAGCCAAAGTAGGGCTGGGTCCAGAGCTGCCTGAAGGTGGAGGGACATGAGCTGTCCACCACGATGGAGGGGCACCGTGCAGCTCAGGGGGATCGCCGCAGCACGTTGTCGTGACAGCCGAGGACTGTGGAATTCCCATGGGCAATGTGACACCCCATCAGGGTGCTGGGGTCTGCCAGGCCCCAGGCAGTCCTCGTATGTGCCTTGGCCTGTGACAGGACCTCTACTGAGAGACCATGCCCTGGCATCTGGGCTTCTGCAGCGGTGAGATGCCTGCCTGGGGTTTGGATTCCATGGCCTCTGGTACATCTGAGGAGCTGAAGGGCCACAGGGGGACCCTGCCTGCCTGTGCTGCCTGCTGTGCCGGGTGCTGGGGAAATAGTCCGCAGTCCCTGCTGTCCCCGAGCTTTCAGGCAGAGGTTTATCAGAGAATTGCCCTGAGTGTGTGTTGTAGTCTGTCTGCTGCTGCTTTAACAGAATACCCTGGACTGGATAATGTATAAAGAAAAGGCAGTTTTGGCTCATGATTCACGAGGCTGGGAAATCCACGATTGGGTGGGTGCCTCTGGTGGGGGCCTTTGTGCTGCATGGCGACATTGTGGAAGGTGGGAGGGCAACAGCACTTGTGGAAAAAAGCATGCTGGGCCGGGCTTCTTTCTAGAATAACAGCCGCTCTCCCGTAAGGAACCCGCTGCCCTCCTGACCTAGGCAGCTCCTCTTAATACTGCTGCCGT